ACCTCCCTATGCGTGGATTTTACAAATCAAATCCACTTATAGTGCTTCCGTTCCCCTCCTCGGGGAACGAAGGGTTACTTTAGTAACCTCGAACGTTCTCCAATGTTCTGCAAATGCTCGATCGCTGGTGATTGTGACAATTTTGTTCTAAGGCAAAATCAAGGCTATCTCTGTGAAAAACTGAAAATGTCAAAAGAAGCTTAGAAGAAGGCTGTCTATGGAGACTAGGGTGTTCTTTTGTGCATCCTAAAACTCCACATTTATAATGCCTCTTAGTGGCTGACATTATCTTTGGCAGGTATGGTCACTAATGGGCAGGGCTTTCCCCCTCCGATGACATGTATATAGGGAAAATGTCAATCAAAGTGCTACTGCAGGATGTTTTCATGAAGTGTGATTATAAAAAATAATTTTAATGAATTTTTATCATTACAGGCTGGATATATTCACACACTGTTGCCACATAACTGTGTTTAAACCCCTCATAAAAGTGATTTTTGGCCTAATAGGTTCCCTGCTATGAGATATATATTTTTAAGATAATTGTTAAGATATATTTTTGTATAGTTTTTTTTACATAAATTACTTTTACATATACAAAGTTGCATTTATTGTATAGTACAGTGAATTAATATTGTGAAATCTTTGTACACATTAAAATAACAGTTTATTTATTTTTATTTTATATTAGTGCAGATTTTTAATATTTCAAGTCAAACATGCATTTTATAAATTACCTAATGTAAAATAACTAAACGAATTTAATCATCATTAAACCTACATTATCCCTACAGTAACCCTACAAATTATTACACTACATCTTCATTTAACTCATGATTTGAAAAACAAAGTTATGCTTCATTAAGAGTAACATGGATTATTAAATGCTGAAAGTTTGAGCACTGCAATGATTATGTATTTTTTAGGTCAAGACAAAATTAATCTTCAGCCTGCCTCAATCGACAAGAACCCAATGGGAGTTCTAATATGGCCTTTAGATTATTGCTGAATTTATTCAAAAAAAAAATGTTAATATTTTTTAAAGTCCTAAATAAATTGCCAGATCTTCAAAACTAAACATAAATTAGGCTTATATAAATGGACTACACACTGCAGTCACGCCACTTTAACATCACCATCATTACTTGTCCGTCTACTCTTTCAGTGTTTATTTAAAATATATATATAGATTTCTCTGAAAGCTTGGCTTTGAATAGATAGCAAGAGCACAATTACAAACACAACGAGAATGTAAAAATGGACTGGAGATAACTTCTATAGTGCCGTTTAGCCTCTTGTTAGCAACTGTCTTTTACAAGAAAAGAGAAAGCTTTACAACATTCACAATGGTGTATTCTTTATAGCAGAGATCAAAAGTAAAATTGTTATTTTGAGCTTGCGTTTACCACAGACCACCTTTAACCAAAAATACTGCATTTCTGCAGAACTCTTGTTGTTTATTATATAAAAAACATGAACTTCTGTAAGTCTCATTTGAAAGTTTATGAAACTTCTCAGAGCTGCTCATTTCAGAAATCATTTGTTTCTATGGTAATAATCATAACACTAAAAGAAAAGATCTATTTGTGGTTTTGTCTTTGATGAAAAAAGAATATTAAAATGGCATAATGCTTTACCTTTAAATGCTCTTTCTATATAAGACACAAAATGTAACATTGTGTATCAAACAACAATACACGTCAGCATCATTATATGTTGCAGCCATTACTATTCTTGTTGTTCTGGTAGTCTTTTAGTCAAGTAAGAGTTTTTTAAATGCAAGTTTTACAAGTTGGAAACCGATGGTTATTGTAATCCTGATGTATCCCTCATAAATCTGTGAACTCTGTTTGACCTCACTCTCTATCGACCTGCACTTTCCTCCATCTGTTTCATCCCCCGTTTTCTGCCCTTCACTGGCCCCTTGACGTTTCGTTTTCATCATCAAATTAAAACTTAATAGTCTCGCCAGGATAATAGAGCCTGTTCTGTGGTAGAGAAATCAATGTGTGGAAGGTGCATCTAAGTCAGATGGCTTGAAGTAATTGGGGCGAGAGTGCAGTGCATTTGTACCAAAGGTATGCAAATAATGTCTGGCTGAAAAGTAAACACACATTGTTAACCCTTTTATTTATGAATCGTTGAGTCACAAAGTAAATTCTATATATTTTAAAAATGTGTTTCTACATTTGGCGAGGCAGTGGCACAGTAGGTATTGCTGCTGCCTTACAGCAAGAAGGTCGCTGGGTTGCTGGTTCGAACCTTGGCTCAGTTGGCGTTTCTGTGTGGAGTTTGCATGTTCTCTCTGCCTTTGAGTGGGTTTCCTCCGGGTGCTCCGGTTTCCCCCACAGTTCAAAGACATGCAGTACAGGTGAATTGGGTAAGCTAAATTGTCCGTAGTGTATGAGTGTGTGAATGTGTGTGTGGATGTTTCCCAGAGATGGGTTGCGACTGGAAGGGCATCCGCTGTGTAAAAACTTGCTGGATAAGTTGGCGGTTCATTCCTTTGTGGCGACCCCGGATTAACAAAGGGACTAAGCTGACAAGAGAATGAATGAATGAATGTTTCTACATTTAATCATGTGAAATATGATTTTTAATATATCATATATTGAGCGAGTTAAGTATCTGTTCCCTACAGTGAACACCATGTTGGTGGTGTAAAATGTTACTGAATTGAACTGATTTGATTGCTTGGTTTTAGACAGTTTTCATTTTGTAAATGAAAATGGCTTGAAACAAACAGAACTTGATCGGTCTGGTGTGTCAGTAATGTGACTGAATGTGCACTCTAATTCTCTTACTTAATGAATGCACAGCACAATCCAGCAGACTATAACAAAGATCCATGATGTGTACTTTGAATCTTTTTGACTACATTTTAGTCTAATATGCTGATTTTTGTATTATATTTTGCACTGTTCATGAGTGGATGAAAAAGTGCACATTCATCATTTTTTGTTTAAGATTTTTTATGTATGATATTTCTATTTGAAATAAATAAATCAAATCAAACCTTTATAATCATGAACTGACATGTCATAAATATGCATTTTATTTTAAGCATTCTTAAGACAACCTTAATTAAGTGTCATTTGCTCCTTTTAAATGCAAAGATGAGTTTTTGAGAATGTTTGAGATGTCTTTGTTGTGACAGCTTGACATAACCAAATACATCATAACCTGTCAGTGTCTGTCATGAAAACTTGACAACATAATTACCAAGACAACGTAACTTCTCATAAACCTATAATAAACCTGTAATAAACATGATTGTTGTGAGGCCATTATGATTGTGCCATTAATTTTATAACAGTGTTGTTAATGTTTTTTGGACCTCAACTACAGTGGCACACAAAAAAATAAAGGAATGACAAAATGTCATTTTTCTTATGTTGCTTTAACCTATTTTAATAAGTTAATCTGGTTAAATTAAGTCGATCAAAAAACTTTTTAAAAAAATTTATACAAAGTTTATCTTTGTTTTTCTGTCAGTTTGATTAATGGCTTGAGATGGCTAGAGAAATTCATTTGATTCAACTGTAAACAGGGTGTTTTGCGGGGTCTTAAAAAGTATTAAAAGTTGATAAATCAATAATGAGAACATTTTAAAAAACGCGTTTTTAGGAGGACTTAAATTTTGTTCAAGCATTGTCCAAAGTGTTTGACTCCAAAACAGCATAAATATATTTATTTTCCTCCTAATATTAACAATGGAGTGCTCGATACACGCAATTGGTTCGGGCATGGGCACATCGGGCCAAACTCCTTTGTCCGGATGATGTCACAGAATTTGTGACAAACGCGGGAATATTATGTGACGCTTTCAACATGTAGCGAAACCATAAAGCCAAACAGAAAGCAAAAATGTAAGTTTTCGTACTTCTGGTAGGAGAAAGACGAGTTTAAACAGTGGCTGACACCTGTCGCTAAAAACGACCACATAATTTATTCTTTCAAGCTTTGTTTCTTCTGAGTTTATCTGAGTTCTGTTGCACGGTTGTGCTCCATTGATTTATTTAACCACAAGTGTTTATTAACAACTGTTTATTAAGTTAAAGGTTTGATACTGATTAGAACTTGAAGTGGTGACGAGGTCTTAAAATATTCTGAGAAGGTCTTTAAAAAGTCTTAAAAAGGTATTGAAATTACCTATAATATTTTTGCATATACTGTATACCCTGAGAAAATGTAAGACAGCAAGATGTTTTACAGTGTACAAATTGAGTTTTTCACTAAGATGTCATTAAAGTAATAATGATGAAGTTATACATTTATTTGTCAAGATAATGACATTTTAATATCTTTGTATAATAAAAAAAAGATTGAATGGTACCAAGGAAAAAGTGATCAGAAAAATATTCATTTAACACAGTTATAATGTCATTATGACAATCCTGTTTATGCCATTTTCATGACAAGCTCTGTCGTCTTGATAATGTCAAGTTGTCATGACAAAGACAAAGACAGATTAATTGAAGTAATTGTTTATGTCAAGTTGTCATCAAAACTTCTCAAACAGTGTCAGCTTTGCATTTAAAATGACACAACTGAGAGAAGAACACTTAATGATAAACATGCATGCATTCATGTGTTATGTCATAGTTATTTGAACACCCACTTCAAGTAGAGTGTTACCAAAATGTACATAAACAAATATGATTTAATCTGGATAGAAGTATTTCCAACAACTTATTTAACACCTATTTGGTTTTCCGTTAATTAAAGGATTCAACACTAATTCCTGCTGAATTCTCTCATCCCTCTGCCATATTAAATGTATGACTCAATATCTCTAAACAACGTGGGACAATACAAACAATAATGAAGTGAAATTGGAAACGGCTCATTGGGAGTTCAGCACATGGTGCTACAATTTAAATGACTGATAATAGCTTCCAAATATCTGTCCATTGCAGTGACCACAATGCACAAAAGGGTTCAAATTTGTGCAGAGTGACTCATGTAAACCCTCTTTCCGTCCCTCTCTTTTCATTCAGGTGTGATCTCCCAGCAGGAGAATGGCAAGACTGTGAGTGTTTCCAACACTATCCGTATCCCCGTGGAGAGGAAAGATAACAGAGCGGCGCTGAGCTGTGAGGCGTCTCATCCCGCACTCGTGAGCCAGAAGCGAGTTCGTCACTACAGCCTGGACGTTCACTGTGAGCCAACAACGCCGTCACATTTCCATGACTACCACCATATTAGACTGATTAGCGCCTGTTATTAGCTCGCTGAAGCCCCATCTGTTTAAACATGTTTGGTTGGCAAGCGTTTGTTTGTTTGTGTCACATCTTGCCTGCTTTGATAAAGGACTAGAAGGCAACAGTATCCCGTTAAACAGCACAGAAACACTCCAAATATGATAGATTTCAACCAGTGATGTAGATATTGACTTTGCACAAGGACTTCTCTCATAAAGTCCCTGTAAAAATCGAAAGGCTTTACTCTGTAAAAGACAATTGAGTTTATATAAACTTCAGCGTATTGCTGTTGTTACCCACAGCGGGTTTGTATCAGACTCCTGCTAAAATGTTTTAAAAGCATTTTTGTTGAGAAAAATGTTGTATTATTAATGTAGCTCACTCAGTGCAGAACACTGCTTACACTTACATTTAAAAGTTTGAGGTCGGTACGAATTCGAGATGTTTTTGTCTAGCTCACTAAAGATGCATCAAGAGGATGAAACATATAGAAAGACATATTAGGTAATAGTGGGAAATAAATGTACAATTTTATAATTGATTGAATAATTTTATGATTATAATTTAATATAATAATGTAAAATTCTTAATTTTATTCCTTAATTTGGGCGACATGGTACCTCGTTTAGCACTGTTGCCTCACAGCAAGAAGGTCGCAGGTTTAAGTCCCGGATGAGTCAGTGGGCGTTTCTGTGTGGAGTTTGCATGTTCTCCCCGTGTTAGCGTGGGTTTCCTCCGGTGGCTCCAGTTTCCCCCACAGTACAGAGACATGCGGTATAGGTGAATTGAAACTAAACTAAACTAAATTTGTGGTAGTGTGTGTGTGAATGAGTGTGTATGGGTGTTTCCCAGTACTGGGTTGCGGCTGGGAGGACATCCACTGTGTAAAACATATGCTGCATAAGTTGGTGGTTTATTTCGCTGTGGTGATCCTTCATAAAGGGGACTAATCCGAAGCAAAATGAATGAATGAATGAATGTATTCCTACATTTTCAGCATCATTACTCCAGTCTCCAGTGTCACATAATCCATTTATGTTTCTTGCTTGAGAAACATGTTGTTATGTATTAAGTAATCAATTTAATATCAATGGTTCTACTACACTGTAAAAGTGTTTTTTTTTTACTGCAGTTTTACAGCAAAATTATAATTATTAATATACAGCATGTTTGCAACTTACAGTATTAAAGGCAAATATTAAAGGCACACTGTAAATAACACCTCTTACTGTGTTGTAGTTTTAAAGAAAAGTTTTAATTGTTTTTTTTACAGTACTGTAAATTTTACAGTATTTTTTACATTAATTTTCCCTCAGCTTAGTCTTTATTTCAGAGATGACCACAGTGGAATGAACCGCCAACCATTCCAGCATATGTTGTATGCAGCGGGTACCCTTCCAGTCACAACCCAGTATTAGGAAACACACATACACATATACATACAATACAGACAATTTAGCTTAACCAATTCACTTATAGCACATGTTTTTGGACTGTGGGGAAAACCGGGGCGACCAGAGGAAACCCATGCAAACACGGAGAGAACATGCAGACTCTACACAGAAATCATTCTAACCAGAGACCTTCTTGCAGTGAAGCGACAGTGCTAACCACTGAGCCACCCATCTTTTTACAGTGTACACAGTAAAACGCCACAGACTACAATGTTGCACAGGGATATTAGTGGGAATCCAAAGCTATTTCAGCAGTCTAAATATGTGATCACATTTATATTTACAGTTCATGAACAATTTCAAACGATTTAGGTGTATTGGTTTGACTGACCAGCACACTAAGTAGAGCTGACTGAACGATGTTATTCTCAAACCGGCCATCATGTGAATGCTTTTTTAAAACCACTTCCGCTCATCGTTCCTTGCTATGTATTAGTTGAAAATAGTTTTTCAATGCGCTATTACAAATACATTTAACTGTGTTTTTGCTCTACATTTTGAAAAACACATTGAATTTTGCTAAACATGCCATGGTGTATCGATGAAAATGGAATTCTACTTTTCCTCAGAGTGAGTCTACAGTAATTGCAATTAGGGCAATTAACATTTAACATTTCTTTACCATTTCTGCATGGCACTACACACATCAAACTCAATTCGTGTAATACCTTTTTAATGTAATTTTTATAACTGTTAAAGCATTAAAATTAGTATCTCATTTTTACATATTAAAACTGTGATTGGAAGTGGGGAATGTAAATTATATAATTGAATTATCCTTTACATTTTGCACCAAACTTTGCACATATATCACGGGGAACTCAGTTTTATATGGATTGTCATTTTACATTTTAAAATGAATTTTGCTGCTTCTACAACATTGCCTAATTTCATTTTAAATTTAAATTTTCAATGTAAACTAAATTCTCCAACTGTGCTATCATATTATAGGGACGAGGGTCGAGCATTTTCAGCCCTGTAGTGTGATTATTTTCCAAAATAAAATGATGTAAATGTCGTATTTAGCTGAAAACACCCTAGCGTAAACATAGCCTCAGTCAGAGCACCGCCATTGAGGACAGTAGGCACTCAGTGGGCTTTGTGACAGAGCTCTTCTCAAGTTTTATTCCCTGTCTGTATCTTTCTCTTTATCTCCGCAGTTGCTCCTACGGTGAAAATCGTTCCCCCTCAGGGCATCCTCCGAGAGGGAGACTCCCTCAGTCTCACCTGCTCCGTTACCGGAAACCCACTGTGAGTGTACAAGAGCGCTGTGTGTGTTTTCTTTCTAAGTGCATCTGTCAGGCTGCGAGTGGGAGATTCGTGATGGATGTGAAGGCGTGTGTGAAGCTCTGTTTTTACATGTGCTTTAAGAACTAATCATCTGAACTGGTCCCATAAGAGCAGCTTTTATCTTGTAACAATCCAAACTGCTTATAGAGGATCATCTGAATGCAGCTTTATTACAGTAGACTGATCTTACATGAGGGAGTACATCCATGGCTCTGTCCTCTGTTCCTCTTCTTTTAGCTCTCTCATTATTTTTCCTCATTTTCAGTTTTAAAGGACACAATAAAAGAAGTGTCTGGACAAAAATAGTTTAAACGACAATATACTGTCAATTTCATTGTATGTACAGTATGTATGTGTGCATTGTTCATATGTGTGCATTAGTTCATTTATTATAATAAGTGAATTTTACTAAAAGTAATAAAAAAATATACTGTAATACAATATGATATGCAATTAAAAAAATAAAAAATAAGATCAAATAAATGTAATTGTACATTTAATTGTTAATTTCATTGTAAGTTATTCTTTTTATTACAGTTTCTGAGAGTGATTTGATTTTTAATTTTTATTGTAAATAATATAAATTTGATAATGAATTGTTATTAATGTAGCAATAAACATGGAATAAACAACAACAATAATAAAAAATCAAGCACAAACATATGTATGTTATTTTGAAGATTAAGTAAAATGTCTGGACAAATATATTGTCCAATTTATAAATTTTTATTAATAATTTATTATTTATTATAATGAATGAATTTTACACACGAGGTCAAAGTTATAAAAATATTAAATTCAGTATAAAAAACTAAGAAGTAAGACACATTTTCTTTATTAATGTAACTGTATATTGTTTTTATAGCAGTAACTAACAGGTATTTATTTGTTTGATTGTTTTTAAATAACAAAATTAATATAGGATTTTATCAAATGTAGCAATACACACAGAATAAACAACAACAACAATAATAATTATAAAAAAAGCACAATAAAATAATTTTTTCAAAATAAAGTATAATTTTATTCTAATTTTTTTGCACAATATTACTGTGGCTGCTGAACGTGCTGCAATTTAAGAAAACACATGCAATTACAACAAACGCCAGCAAATTGAGAAAAGATCTTCATCTGTTTGACAGCACATGTGCTGCAAATCCTTACAATGCAAACACATTACAAAAAACGCTGCATTTTCTTACAGCGCAAGCATTTTACGAAAATGTGCTGCATTTTCTCACAACACTTGCAAAAACAACAAATTTAATGTTTAGGGACCCTAAAACGTGACAGATGCCGCTGTGCCTTGACTATTGCTTAGTGAAGTGTAGGTGATCTTTGAAAGAGTTTTTTGTTTGTTTATTTTAATATTCTGATTCTGGTGTCTTTAGTATTTTATTACCATCGTAAATAACCATAACCTAAATAGTCGGATCCGTCATGTTTTAGGGTCCTCTTGGAACATTTCCATTGTGTTTTGTGCTATTTGACAGTTTTATGAGAAAATGCAGCACAATTTATTAATTGTTTGCGTTGTGAGAAAATACAGCATGTTTGATATATTTGTTTGCATTGTGAGAAAATGCAGCATGTTTTATTAATTGGTTTGCGTTGTAAGAAAATACAGCACGTTTTATTAATTTGTTTGCGTTGTGAGAAAATGCAGTGCATTTTATTAGGTTGTTTGTGTTGTGAGAAAATACAGTGTATTTTATTGATTTGTTTGCGTTGTGACAATATACTGTGCATTTTATTAATTTGTTTGCGTTGTAAGAAACTGCTGCGCGTTTTATTAATTATTTTGCGTTTCGAGAAACTGCAGCGCGTTTTATTAATTTGTTTGCGTTGTAAGAAACTGCAGCGCGCTTTATTAATCTGTTTGCGTTGTAAGAAACTGCAGTGCGCTTTATTAATTTGTTTGCGTTGTGAGAAACTGCAGCGCGTTTTATTAGGTTGTTTGTGTTGTGCGAAAATGCAGAACGTTTTTTTAATTTGAATGCATTGTGAGAAAATGCAGCACATTTTACTAATATGTTTTTGTTGTGGAAAAAAATTCAGCACGTTTTATTGATTTGTTTGCGTTGTGAGAAATTACAGTGCGTTTTATTAACTTGTTTGCATTGTACAATGTAGATTTGATAAAAATGCATGGGATAAAAAGGGAGCTAGTAGTTGTAAAATAATAATAATAATAAATAAATAAAAATAATAATAATTTACAATTGGGTTAAAATAATTTATTGTTTTTTTTTTTGTTTTTTTTTTTGTAAAGAGTTACCTAAAATAAAATAAAATACGTTCAAATACTTTAAAATAAAATAAACAGTTGAGTAGCATAGGGTTGCGGTGGGAACACAATCGCCTCACAGCAAGAAGGTCGCTGGTTCGAGTCCCGACTGGACCAGTTGGCATTTCTGTGTGGAGTTTTCATGTTCTCCCCGTGTTCGCATGGTTTTCCTCTGAGTGCTCCGGTTTTCCCCACATTTCAGACACATGCGCTATAGGTGAACTGAATAAACTAAATTGGCCGTAGTGAATGTGTGTAAATGTAAGAGTGTATGGGTATTTCACAGTGCTGGGTTGCAGCTGGAAAAGCAAGTGCTGCGTAAATCATATGCTAGATAAGTTGGCGGTTCAGTCTGCTGTGGCAACCCCTGATTATTAAGGGACTAAGCCGGAAAAATAAATAAATTAATAAAAAAGTCAAAAACTGCATTAATATATATTAAATGAACAACAATATTCCTTGACCGAATGTCCTCCACCAGCATTTGACCTTTAATTGGCAGGTTTTTCCCACATCCATCACTAAACATCTTATTCTGAAGGCGAAAGTGTCGCTCATTCAGCTTCAGCAGTGTCTCAGTGAACACTTTCTTTCTTCAGAAGACATATTTGTCTTTGTCTCTGTCTTTGTCTTTTTCTTTTCTTTTTTGTCTGTGGTCACTGAGTCTGTTCTCCCTAAGAGCCAGTGAGCAGAAAGCCATTAAAGCTCTCCAGAGCCTCGTAAGAGACCGGCTACAGAAATGAAAGATGGACAGATAGAGCTGCCACTCATTTTACGCCCAAATGAGGGAATGACGGAGAGAGAGAGGGGAAGAAAGATGGCCTGCGAAGGGTTTTAGCCAGGAAAGAGAAATGATAGACCTCGTGATTTATGCGGTGGGGAGAAGGAGAGTACGAAACGTGTAAATGTTTAATTGTAGGGGCATGTTTGAAGATTACAGAATGCGCTGATGAGAAATGAGAATAGACCAGCCGCCCGCAGAGACGCTCTCTGGATAGGTTGAGATAAATGAGTGTATTGATGGGAGGGATGAAAGATGGATCCAGATGCCGCTCTACGGTAGCTGAACTCACAGTTACACTGCGTCGCGCAGCTTGCTTATAAAGCCATTACGATCATGTTCATCCGACATTAATCACCAATTAAACACAGTCTGCATTTGTTGGAGGGGTGTGTTTATTATCCCTAGGCTGCTCTGGTTGGCTCAAACTGTATGTATGGCTGAGAGAATGTGTGTGGTATGAATCCTGAATCCTGTGAGGGCTGTAATTAAAAGTGTCCCATGGGATTACTCCCGGTGATGACGTAGACTTGTATTGTATCCAGGCGGGATGAGGGATGAGGCGGTTCACAGGCGGTGGGCTCAGAACACAAGCCTCGGGCGTTTTGCCCTACAGTTTTCCATGTATCTCCTGCTGCTGTGGATCACCTCGCAGCTGTTTGTGTGTGAGCGTGTGTGTGTGTGTTTGGTAATCTCCTACTTTCATGCTCTTTTGTCTCTGTCTGCCTGGTATTATCTGCTAGAACTGTACTGCTCTGCACTCTCCTCTGCAAAGAGTAGGCCTACGTGAATGTATATAAAATAGTCCCTGTCTTGCTGTAAAATCCTAAAGGAGCGCTCCATATTTTTTAGAAAAAGGCTAATTTTACAAATCACCTAGAGTTAAATTTTAGTACCAATTTTAAATCCACTCAGGTGACCTCCTTTTGTGTTGGGAGCGCTATTAGCTTAGCTTAGCATAAATCATTGAATCAGATTAAACCATTAGCATCTCACTCAAAAATTTTAAAGATTACCAAAGCCTCTTTAAGGGTGCTTTTTTTACATCTGTAGTTCGGTTTATTTCATTTCAAGCTTTATCTGGATATATTTCTTATGTCTGTGAAGCAAGTATTCGATGTAATTGTTGTAATGTAATGTAATTCCAGTGCGTTGTTGACCACCAAACTGTTGTGAAAGCACACATCTGGATCCCCCAGAGAAACGTCAGTCTATAGCAAGGGTCTCAAACTCAAATTGGCGGGGGGGCCATATTAGTGACTGACAATTCATAGGAGGGCCACTTAAACATTCTAGCACACAAAAAAAGTGGAAACCTAATGTAATTAAAGCACTCAGACTTTCTTCCCCAGAGTTTACGCAGTCAAAGCTCCTTCTTTTTGTTTCTTGTTGTGCATATTGAAGGGGTAGTAATAGGGTTGCTATGGAAATACTAAAATTTAATGATAGGCATAATAATACCGAGTGACATGTTTTGTGTATTCTATAGTCTTTGATATTACGCAGCGATGTTATGTAGTTACCTAAATGAGGACTATTTTCAGGTATTGCGTAATATCATTGCACCTGCTGCAGTCATGACTCAGCAGCATGCTTGCTTAATTATTACACGAGAATAAGAATATAGTTCCTTGTCATGTTTACCTATGAAATAGTAAATTTCAATGTTCCATCAGTCTTAGTACACAATGTAACAACAGAAGAGTCTAGCTTTAAATAGGAAATGTGATGAAACTAGTCTTTGAAATTTTTGACAGAGATGCTAATGGTCTGGTCCGATTCAATGATTTACGCTAAACTAAGCTAAAAGTGCTTCCTCCAGTTCTGGAGATCACCCTTGGATTTAAATGGATTTAAAAATGGTAATGATTTAAAAAGCTTTTGTGAACATTTTGTTATTACTCTGTTATTTCTCAGTATCATTTATTTAATTACTATTATTTACTTTTAAAATGTGCTGAAGTAAATTTTAAATTATGTCAGTGGATTAAAAACAAATTTCAATTATATTTTCTAATTTACATAAATATATATATATATATATATATATATATATATATATATATATATATATATATATATATATACTGTTTTTTTTTATTTTATTTTTTTTTTATATATTTCCTAACCCTAAGTCATACACAGATTGTAGTTCTTTAATGCCTTTTTTATATTACCTTATTTCCATTCTCCGTCTCTGGAGCCTCATTATTTGGAAGAGATTTGATTTTGAGCTTTTCTTTTAATGCCTTTGTTCTGTCTTTGATAAATTCTTGATTGCTTCTTTAATGCAATGTCATCTTCCACTTCCTTTCTAGACCACGTGACATCCAGTGGTCACGAGTGAACGACACTCTTCCTGAGAGGGCGGAGAAAACCGGCAACATCCTCCACATGTCTCGCCTCAGCCAATCACACAATGGCACCTACCTCTGTCAGGCACATAATAATTACGGCCGTGCAGCTGATCACTACACACTGCTGGTGTATGGTAAGAAATCAAGTGATCCCTGAACTCGACATTAAACCCTAACCACTTCAAACTACTCGAAGCAGATCATATGTTTGCATAGGGCTGTGCAATTGATTGAAATTCAGTTATGAAGTTGATATTGGCCTATAATGATTATGAAAAAAACAAGAATAAAAATGCATGAGTAACAGTAAATTGGGTCCGTGTGGCTCTTTAATAGCTGTTTTCACTGAGTAGTATGGTACGATACAGTTTGGTTTGGTGCGCTTTTATGGCCATTTCCACTGTCAAAAGGTACCAAAAAGCGAACAGTGCTGTACAACCAAAGGGTACCAAAAGGCGGAGCAAGATGTGCAACTGAAGGTTGTTGGTTTACAGAGATACGTCACTTGCTCGTGCACAATCCAGGATGATGAAAACAAAGGAACCATCATTTTTTCATACACAGCCGAGACCTTACACTGTAATATTACATAAATATAATAACAAGCCATTTTCGAACCGAGCTCAAACAAAACTTGTCATCTTGGCCACAAAGCCAAGAAGAAGAGCAGAATCCACCTTGTTGTTGTTCACAAAGCCGTCTTAAGCACAAGCTCTCTCAAGAGAGCTTGCTTGCTTGTCTATACTTAAAATAATTTCTTGAGCTGATGATAATAATGTGCACAAATATTGAAGTGCTTCTGACACCTGATCCTTTCAGAAACGGACAAATGCGAGAGTGAAACGCAAAAAAAGAATCAAATGATTTTTTCAGCAACCTAACACATAAACAAACTGCCATGTTTAACTATTATCATCGTCTTTTGAACTATTATGAACTCAGAATTACTCTCTAACAGAGGCTACATGTGCTGGAGTAGATTAAAGATACAGATGAGGTTAGCACTGACTGTGGGCTATATGTTGCGTGTTGTTTTTGAACCCAAATAAGGACTTAATGTATGCTGTATGCAGTTGCAGTATGCAATGTAAACAGCTTACAGTGACAAAAAATTCAATTGGGGGCTAATAAATCTGACTTTAACTGTATGTTGCATTTATTTATTTATCTTATAAGATCGCAGTTGTTACAGTAGGCCATTTCATTGATGTGCAGTTATAATCAAATCATGTTCATAGTAAGGTTAGTAATGAACATTTACACAAGTATTGATGTGTTTGATTAGAAGTGCTTCTCATATAATATACCCGTACAGCTTTACTTTGACATTTACTCAAGCGAGAATGACATTGACAGAAACTTTCTGTCGTATCAGTGGTGCCCTTTTGACAGTGGAAAAGCAAGCCTGATAAAGGTGACCCGTACCAATCCGTATCGTACCGTACTGTACCACTCAGTGGAAACGGACCATTAGTGCAACTGTGTTTATTATTATTATAATTATTAATCAATCAACAAAATACATAATCACTTACTGTTTTTGATTAAAGAACTTTTGCAGATTTAAATCAATTATTGAACTACAAGAATTATAGTTTAATAATATACAAATCAAGTTGAATTCTTACAGTGAAAACAATACTTAAAGCACAGTTTTTTTATTTATATCTTTACATAAACTATTTAAAACTTTTTATTATAAGGTCCACTCATAATCGTTTTAAATAATCAAGATTACAGTATTGACCAAAATGTGATAATGATTTCTTTCATAATTAAGCAGCCCTATATTTCTGCATGTCATAATGTCTGCTTTCCAATGAAACATGTTTTTTTTTCAGCAGCCTGTGTTACAAAACAATTTCATATGTATGCGCACAAACACCTACACTTTCTTTGCAGTTGGAGAACAGCGTGGGTTCTTGGCTACTGAGATGGTTTAGTGTAGCTTTGGATGCGACAAACTTGTCTTGTGCTCCCACTATGGTGTTTTTTTTTCCTCTAGTCCTCCCCCTCTTGCTCAGATCTGCCCCCTGTGGATATTCAGTGCATTGCAGGTTTCAGTTTTAGACCTGCAGGATGTGTGATGTATTTTAAAAGAGTGCAAGAAATGAGATCCCCAGAGGTCTCCCTCCTTTCTCTCTCTTTTTTCCTCTTCTTTTTTTCGCATGGTAACGACAGCTATCAAATACGCACGTTAACGAGGCAGCCTGGAGAGCACAGGTGGGTGGGAATGTCATCTTTCATCCCGCTTCTTTCCCTCGCTCCCTCTCTCTTCCGCTCGTTCTATCCGCAGTTCTGAGTAGGTGAGCCTCTTAGCTTTGAAACACCTCTGCACTTCTGAGAATGGCCCAGGAATTCCTTTCTCTCGGCCTGTTTTTCTTCCTCCATCTGTTCTTTCCTTATTACTTCTCTTATTTCTTCCATCCTTTTTTCTAACTTCCTTCCTTTCTTCCTTGTTTATTTTCTTACTTCCATACTTGCCTAGTTTCACTCTTGTTTTCTTCTTTGCTTTTCCGTCTTACCCTTACTTCCTTAATCCTTCATATGTTCTTTCCTTCCTTCTTTCCTTTACCAATTCCCATGTCTCTGTCTCTGTACGTTCATCCTTCCATCCAAACATGTCTTTTTCGATCCTCACTTTCAACATTCCTCTCTTTCATCGTTCATGTTTCTGTCTTCCGTTTTTCCTTCCGTTCTTCCGTTCTTCCTTCCTTCCGTTCTTTCTTTCTTTCTTTCTTTCTTTCTTTCTTTCTTTCTTTCTTTCTTTCTTTCTTTCTTTCTTTCTTTCTTTCCTTCTTTCTTTCTTTCTTTCTTTCTTCCTTCATTCGTTACTTCTTTTCTTCTGTCTTTTTTCCATTCCACACTCTCCTCTTTTCCTCTTTATCTTTCTTCACTTGTCCTTTGTGTTTCACTTGTTTCTCTCATTCTTCCTTCCTTCCTTCCTTCCCTCCTTTTCTTTCTTTTATCTTGTTTTGTCACCATCTTTATCTTTCTTTTTTACATCCTTTATAAAATCATTTTCTTCCTTCTTTATCCCTTTGTTTCCTTCATTATTTTCTTCGCTGTATCATCTCTAATATATTTTCTTCTTTGCTTCCTTGTTTTGTTTGCCATACTTTTTCTTTTACTTCTAAATCCTCTTTTATAATCCTTCCTTCATTTTTATTCCTACCTTCCTTCCATCTTATATATATATTTTTTTTATTATATAAATTTCTTTTATATTTTCTTCATTTCTTTCTTCCATCCAACTGTATCTTTCTACACTTGTCCTTGTTTCTTACATCCTTCAATTTTTTCCCTTCTTCCTTCCATTCATCTGTGCTTTCCAGCCATCCTTACATTCTTCCCTTTTCCATCTATCAATCATTTCCAAACTTCAGTCTCTACTATCATTTTTAATTTTTTCTTCACCCATTTCCTTTCTTTTATCTTGTTTTGTCACCATCCTTATTTTTTACATCCTTTATTGAATCTCTTTCTTCCTTATTAAGTTGCCTTTTTCTTCTTTTATTTGCAGCCCTTTTTCACTTCATCCTTTTTTTCTCCTATCCTTTCTTCCTTGTCTTTTTCTCAATGCATCTCCTACACAGAACACAGACTTTCCCATTTAATATGTTTGTGTGGGAGTAAATGAACAAGATTTGGTGTTAACTCTCAGCGGTATCAGCGTGTTTAGGCTGGAAATCCCATGCTCTGTGCAACTAAAAGGAGGGAAAAAGCTGACTGCTGAAGGCTGATATAGGATGAGGGAGAACTATTAGATGATGAGTCAGCAGTCACTGTGACACGAGAGGACGGAGGAGGGCTGATCTCAATATCTTGCTGCTTCGCACTGACAAACTTTTTTCACACTGATTTATTTAATGTCTAAAGTGACCATGGAGTGCAAAATGAGGAGCAACCAGCCAGTATGAGCAGAATGGCGATTATAAACTGGAGAAGAGTAACAGAAAGAATGAATGAGCAAGCAAGGAAACAGCTTTCGCAGATAAGGAAATGAGGAAGACAAGACGACAGAGGAGGAGGAGACTTTGTTTTCAATTTTGGAAATTTAGCAATTTATGCTGACTGATATGGAAGTGTTTATTTATCACATGACTCAACATGTACGCCTGTGCTGTTTTATCTTTGTCTGGAAACTTTTCATTTGCATATATATTTGGTACACACTTTTTTAAAAACCAAACCCACTTTGGAAGCATTTATATGCATAGCTACGGTTTTACATTTATTTCAGTGTGAGTATCTGCATGGTTCAGGTTTACTGCCTACACAAGAAATGTTAAGCCTGAAATCACCTACACTGTTGGAAGACGTAAAAAGTCTCTATGAAGTAAATGTCTTAAACATGCTAAATAACTTTAATGGAGACCTACGAATTTAAAAAGATTGCTGGAGTTAGGGTTAAAGGATGTGATATTTTGTATATACAGTATAAAAATGTTGCAATACAGCATATATAAGTACACCTCTCACAATTCTCCTTTTTAAACTACTATTTTTAATATGAAGTTTTACAATATTATATTTGTGCTATTACATTAGATTAATCAATACTGAAGCCAAACATGGAGCTTATCTAACAAAATAACTTACGATATCGATCCAAAAACTTGTACACCCAAATTTATATGTTACAGAAAAACTATTAAATACAAATTTTAAAAAGAGGAAAAATCAAGAGAAGCAAAAAATGTATAAATTTAATTGAAATTTTGTAGGTTGTAATTAATTTTTGCAATATTTTACTTTCAATTTTTAAATATGTTTGGTGATTAAAATATTATCAATACATCTGTTTAATAAATCTGTTTTGTTTAAATGCACCAAAATATATTGCCAATATTCACTGAGAAATGGAGAAAAATATCCAATTTCAAAATGTGGTGTTCTTAATTTTGCTGAGCACTGTATATACAGTGCATCTGGAAAGCATTCATAGCGATTCACTTTTTCCCCAGTTTTTTATGTTACAGCCTTATTGCAAAATGGATTAACTACACACAATAGCCCATAATAATACTGTTTATTAAAAACAAAAAAGAAAAAAGAAATCAGCATTCACAGCCATTGCCGTGAAGCTCTAAATTGAGCTCAGGTACATTTTGTTTCCGCTGATCATTCTTCAGATGTTTCAGCAGCTTAATTGGAATTCACTTGTGGTCAATTCAGTTGATTTAAAAAGGCTTATACCTGTCTATATAAGGTCCCATGGTTGACAGTGTATGTCAAAGTACAAACAAAGCATAAAAACATAGGAATTGTCTGTAGACCTCTGAGACAGGATGGTCTCGAGGTACAAGGCTGGGGAAGGTTACAGAAAGAGTTCTGAGGCTCTGAAAGTTCCAATAAGCCCAGTGGCCTCCATCATCCATAAGTGGAAGATGTGTGGAATCACCAGGACTCTTTCAAGCGCTGGCCGGCCATCTAAGCTGAGTGACCAGGGGAGAAGGGCCTTAGTCAAAGAGTTGATCAATAACCTGATGGTCACTCTGTCTGAGCTACAGCGTTCTTCTGTGGAGAGAGGAGACCTTACAGATGAACAACCATCTGTGCAATCCACCAATCAGGCCTGTATAGTAGAGTGGCCAGACGGAAGCCACCCCTTAGTATTGGAATTTGGCAAAAGGCATCTGAAGGACTCTCAGACCATAGGAAACAAAATTCTCTGGTCTGATGAGACTAAAATTTAACTATTTGGAGTGAATGCAAGGCGTTACATTTGGAGAAAACCAGGCACCGCTCATCACCAGGTTAATACCATCCCTACAATAAAGCATGGTGGTAGGAGCATCATGCTGTAGGGATGTTTTTCAGCAGCAGGAACTGGAAGTCAGAATAGAGGGAATGATGAATGCAGTAATGTACAGAGACATTCCAAATAAAAACCTGCTTCAGAGTGCTCTTGACCTCAGACTGGGGTGATGGTTTAAGTTCCAGCAGTACAATGACCCAAAGCACACCAAAATATCAATGGAGTGGCTTCAGAACAACTTGGTGAATGTTCTTGAGTGGCCCAGCCAGAGCCCAGACCTAAATCCAATTAAACATCTCTGGAGAGAACTGAAAACAGCTGTACACTATCACCTCCCACCCAACCTGATAGACCTTGAGAAATACTGCAAAGAGGAATGGGCAAAAATTCCCAAAAACAGGTGTGCCAAGTTGTGGCATCATATTCAAAAATAAATTAAGGAAATTAAATGTACACAAAAATGTAATTGCTGCCAAAGGTGTATATACAAATCATTGGGCAAAGGCTGTGAATACTTTTTCAGTGTTTTTTTCACATTGTCATTATAGGGGTGTTATGTGTAGAATTTTGAGGAAATAAATTAATTTAATTCATTTTGGAATAAGGCTGTAACAAACAAAATATGGAAAAAGTGAAGCGCTGAAAAGTGAATACTTTCCGGATGCACTGTACTTCTTACCTCCAAACATATATCTTATTCACTGGTCAAATGGTCATAGGATAGTCCCTGTAGATTTTCTTATGTTACACAGTAAAAGTACTTAGCAACGATTGACCTCGCTGCCGATAAAAACCATTACGATTGAACAGCCTCTGAAAAGCACTGAGATTGAAATGAGAGAATGGCAAAAGAGATGGAGGGAGAAGCAGCAATGCTCGCAGGACAGAGGAAAAGATGTAGCACAGTAATGAGCTGTGGCTCTAATTGGGAGAAACAACATGGGCACTTAATTAATGAAGTGAAACTCTGGAAAAGGATGAGGAAGCATGAGCAAGAGAGCCTATGGTAATTGAAAATGTCATTTTTTACCTTTGGATAGTCATGACAGGAATATTAAGCACGGCGAATCGAGGACTGTGTCGAGTTGACGGCAGAGACTTGGCCTTTGAGTGAAGAGGTGAGAGACTGTGGGATTTACCAACTCCATATTCTGAGGATTGAACACAGTTTTGGAGATCTGCCACTCTCTCTGTCTTTTATTGGTATAATGTGGCACAAAAACCAGAGTCACAAGAACGCGGAGAACAACATTGCTGACGTGACTCATCCAAACATCTGTGTGATGAAATGTTTATCAGCTTTCAGTCTGAGCCGTAATGATGCGCAGGAAGCAGGAAAGAAGAAACGCCTCTTAAATGATTGGTTTTGGAAAAATGTGCAGGAAAAACAGAGAATTATAATGAACGAGGAACATGGAAGCTCTGAAAGGAGAGGAGAAAAGGGGAAAAGGGACAGGAAATGTAATGAGAAAAAAGGATCTGACTGATGGAATAGGGCACCCAAAAAAAGAAAATTTGGCCATTATTTACTCAGCCTCATGCCATTCCCAACCTGTATGACTGTCTTTCTTCTGTAGCGCACAAAAGGAGAGATTTTGAAGACTGCCTTCTGAGCAATTACAGTGAATTGGGACTGAAGCTTTCAAGCTTAAAAAGGATGCAGAAGCACCATGAAACAACATAAAAGTGATCTGTCTGCAATACCCCAAGTCTTTTGGAGAGACGTGCCAAATCTCTGTATAAAAAACAGACCAAAACAAAGGCATTATTTACTGTTATTTTTACCCTTTACTCTCCCTCCTAGATTTGTGAATATTGAATCATTTCATTCAATCTGTTTACTGGTTTGCACAACCTTTTGAATGGTTTCTAATTTGAAATGATGCAGTACTCCAGTATAACACATAGACTTAATGATCAGGTTGCAGCTTGATATCGAGATAAATTTTATTTAATTTCTTTCACAGATCTTCCAAAAGGGGGGAATTTCTGAAAGCCATTGTTAGCCAGCTAAGGTCGCAAGTTCTGTCGTTACAAACATGGTTTGTTGATTTGGCATTTCCCAAACCCATCGTTCCAACGAACAATTGCAAACTGCGTCACAAACTTTTATGCTTGCAACTACACCTCTGGAGCTTTATTTAGAAGCGTAGTTACTGGCTGTGCTTTATTCCCAGTTCTCCCCCCTCTGCCCTATTCATTTAGAACATTTAAAATTTGCTTTCAAAACAGTTCAGTTTTAGCGATCTACATGTTTGCAGTTTTGCTCCCTTCGCAGTGCACTTTGAAATCATTGATGCCGTTTTAAACAGCCATGGCTCATGACAAAAACTATAGAGTGACCTATTATTTAAAAGCGGAGTTTATGTTAAGTATTTAAAACTTTTGAAAACAAAAAACATAGCATATATGCTTTTAATTTATAGTAGGTTACTTATTAAGTATCTGTACTGTATATGACATGGCCCTATGGTTAGAACATTTCTGCAGTGGTTTAAAGGTGTCAAATTGTAGAAGTAGACTTTTCTTAATAATAATATTAATAATATTCGTCATCATCATCAATATTATTATTTCATATATTTCATATATTAATATATATATAAAGTATGATTTTTTTCATTTCCTAATAAATAATAAATATTTAAATTTATTTTTTAATAAATAGCCTCATTATTTATTTATTTATTTATTTATTTATTTATTCATATGACATTAGATATTGGTGTTAGCTTTTGTAAGGGATTTTATGTTCATTTAGAATAGACTATAGAATATTCTCAATAATATTTGTAAAGGAATCACAGGCCCCATATGTGCCATTTACATATATTTCAAGTTGTATGGAATGCGAGTGCATGTTTTCACCAAAACTAATATTAGATTTTTTTTTTTTTTATGTGTGTAGTGTAAAACAATATAATTTGCACAATGAAATTATGGGGTTCTTCTCTGAAGAAGTAGTTACTCCACCTCGTTTTAAAACATCAGTATGGGCATATTATGTTATAACTAACATGGTTCAATCGATGGATTGGCGACAAAGAAACTACGGGTTTTGGGAAACACTCGTTACTAAATCGTTGTTTTTCCAAACTATGCATCGTACTATGTTTAGCCGTGAGTTATGTCGTTGTTTGGGACGACAATAACAGTCAATGTTGTCAGTTATACTGGAGTGTTTTACATATTGCAAAGTGTATTGCATTAAACTTGGAACCAGTTGCGCCTGGTTCAACCACTGGGTATCAAACTTTCATACTGCACCTTTAACTATTTGTTCAGTATCCAGCTTAAAAACTATTTGTTAATTAATCGATTGTTGGTGAAAAGATCTGAAATCCAACATGTTGGTCTCTACTCTTATAATGCCATTGGTGCTACTCCTTTATTATATTCTGAAGAACTTCATTGTTCATTATTATTCCGAAAAGAAAATGATACTGGAGGGACATGATGTTGTTGAGTAAATGATGACAGAATTGACAATTTTGTATCGATTGTCCCTTGAAGAGTCATTTTAAAGGAAATGATCTCTCCGCCCCTTTAAGAGTTTGAGCTGCTATAAAATGTGAGATATTTGGCCTCAGAAGAAGATGAGAGTTATTGAGAGAAGAGAGATGAGAGGGATGATTTGCTGCCCTTCGCTTCCTGAAGAAGACGGGTGGTCTATTGATCGGTGTCCGGTTATCGATCGGTCTGGTACCACGCTGTTAATCCCTCTGAGTATTGAAGGCCACACACGCACGCAACCCGAAAACCGATGTGATGCTGCTCTTTGTTGCATAAAAAGCCACAGAACTTATGCAGATAGAGGAGAGAGTAGCTGCGAGCTTGAAACCGAAATGAAATGTGGCGAGAAAGAGCGATGAGGCTACTGCTTATATTAGAGGTGTGGAGGATGGTGGGTTGAGCAGTAAGATTGATGATCTTTGGGATGGAGGGATTGAAGATTACAGTGAGAGAGAGAGAGCTGAGCCCAGGGTGCCAGTAACTGCAGTATTTTGCAGCGGTAAAGGATGAAAGGGTGGAACAGGAAGCTGCTGCACCCTGCTGGTTGGAGATGTTACCCACAAAGAGACCCATGACCCCGGCAGAAGGGTGTCATTTCACACATTGCACTGTTTTATCACTTGCTTGTAGATCACATAAATGCTTAATTTAGCATGTTTTCCCTTGCATGTGCTTGAATGTAGCTGCTGTAGTTTGTGAATAACCATGTTATAATGCCATTCCCTTGTAGTGTCTGTTGCTCAATCTCATCCTGCCATCGCTCACCCCAACCTTCCATCCTCAAAGGAATACCAAGGTAACCCTCCATTCATCATCTCACCTCACATCACCTTCTGTTCTCATCATTCACTTCCCTTCTCTAGTTTTTCTTACAGAGTTGCTTTCATAATGTTATGTATTTTTTTTTTTTTTGCTTCACATATAGATATACTTGAGTTATACATGTCTATTTTCAACCATCTTTCTTTATCTCAGACTTAAACAGGCCAGGTTTCTACCAGCCCACACTCAGGAACAATATGTGCCTTTTTTTAAAATAGGGCATTTTTATAAACAGCTATATATTATTTAGGCACTTGCATGTTTAGAAGCAGTTTCCAACTGAAATGTCTAGTGAGTGCTGCAAAGGTTTATGTTCATGTTTTCTCAGAAACAGATATATCTACGTTGGCAACATTTTATATTAAACTGGTTCATGCACGCATCAAGGAACTTTAAAAAAATTACTAGGCTAATGAGTTGCTGTAAAAGATTAATGTTATATCACATGATCGGTTCTAGGATTTCATCCGAAGAGGGGCTCAGCCCTCGCTACTGTTGCTGATAATGCTGAATCCATAAACTTTACATTATAATCTTGCAAGTATAACAAATATATATATATTACTAGATTTTATCATTTTTGACGAATTATTTAGTGACGTACATTGTTGATGGTTGGTTGGTTTAGTGAATTGTGCAACATAGGCTAATATAGAAAATTTAGCCATATATATGGTTGAAGTCAGAATTATTAGCCCCCTTTGATTTTTTTTCTTTTCTTTTAAAAATATTTCCTAAATGATGTTTAATAGAGCAAGGACATTTTCACAGTATGTCTGATAATATGTTTTCTTCTGAAGAAAGTCTTATTTGTTTCATTTCGGCTAGAATAAAATCAGTTTTACATTTTTTAAAAACTATTTTATGGTCAAAATTATTAGCCCCTTTAAGGTATATATTTTTGCGATTGTCTACAGAACAACCCATTGTTATGCAATGACTTGCCTAATTATCCTATCCTGCCTAGTTAATCTAATTAACCTAGTTAAGCCTTTAAATGTCACTTTAAAGCTGTATAGAAGTGTCTTAAAAATATCTAGTAAAATATTATTAACTCACCATGGCAAAGATAATATAAATCAGTTATTAGAAATGAGTTATTAAAACTATTGTGTTTACAAATGTATTGAAAAAAAAATCGTCTCTACGATAACCAAAAATTGGGCGAAAAATAAATAATAGGGCTAAAAGTTCTGACTTCAACTGTATATTTCTGGAGATTACGAATTACGTAGCCAGAAGTACATATGGCTGCATTTTGCCTAAAGAACAATTCTTCAATGCCATTTCTGCACACAAATTCAAGAATCCCAAATTTAAGAGCCTTAATGGGTAATTGGTAGATATATTTTGCTATTTCTGCACATAATTTTGTACAAAAACTGACAATTTATGTGGAATGATTTTGAGAGTGTTGTAACAAAAAACTTAACACATTAAATAAAGTAATGATAACCTTGTTTAAGGTTTGCATTACAAGTCCAATTAGAATCGCTTGTGACAACAGTGTCACTCATATAATATACTGTATTAACAAAATAATTGAAAATATTACTTTACTAACTGTATTGTACATTAACAATACAAACATTTTATTTAATAATATTACTAAAATAAAATTACAAAAAAATAAAAGCATAATTTTTATATTTTTACACTCTATTTACATAATTAAATAATAGATTGAAATACTGCATTTCTGCACACACCGTGATCCATGAGGACCTAGTAATTGGTAAATGCTGGGTTGGTTCAGCCAAAGTGGTCAAATCAGGAAAAATGGGTTCAAATTAAAGTTTTAAAATGTAGCTTTTATAATTGCAACCACTATTGACTAGGATCAGCAACCTATAGTTAGATAATCAGAGCATGCATGTATTTCATTTAAAAAAGACCAATGGAACTGTGTACAAATGTTCTCTGTTAGATGAGCATCCTGATAGAAACTACAGTATAAAAATGTTTTGAAATAACCTGTGGGAATTAATGTGAAGCAAACCATTGACATGAGCATGAGCATAGAGAAGCACATTGGCACAACCCGAAACCCGAAACCCGAAAAATTAAAAAGGCCACTTGATGGTCAAAACGTAGCTGACCCCAGAGCCCCCTGTAACATGTGAATCAAAGGACTGTTTCATTAAAATGCCTGCAAAATACGCACTGTATTATTATTAATTATTTGACTTATTTTTCAGCTCAGCTTCTCAGCTTTATGCTGCTTTTTTCAAGCAGTTAGGACAAGCATTTTTTGAAAACAAAAGTAATTTAATTTTCAATGAAGATTCACACAACAGCTGCTTATGGGTTGTGATCCACCGTAAGTGCAAAATGTTTTTATTTAAAATCATTCTTCATTCAAAACAGTCATTATTAAGAATGGATGTTTAATAGAGAAAAAAATATAATCCTTGCTTCATATAATTTGTTTTTGTTTGCTGGTTTTTTCAGAATATTAAATATTGTTGTCTTATGTACCGTATAGTTCATTCAAGTCATGTTATTATTAATGTAATTACTAAAACACAAACCAGTTGGAGCATTTCTTGCCCTCTGAATTGTATAATTGCATAATTAAAGTTGGCGTGAATGAACCTTTACATTAATGGAATGTCCAGTATTCAGAATGCCATTGACAGTGATGTCACAGTGATATTTGCTTACTGAACTGTCTTTTTTACATACTATATTCTACTTTAGCCTCAGTTTGTTCATTAAAGTCCAATGTATACTTCCGCTTGAACATTTAATTGTTTGTACAACCTCAACACATGCACACAAGGAAAAATCATCCATGTTCAGTGTCACATTTCTTTCAACATGTTATTAGTGACAACAAAAAATATGTGTTCGTACTCATTTAAAATGGAGCTGCGGATATCTGTTTAGCATTTCAAAGCACATGTGCTAGCTGCTTATACATTTTCTGTGCGATTAGAAAAATCAAGCTGCACATGTACAAAATTATTCACACACCTTTCACTACCTGACAAAAGTCTTGTCGTGGATCCCAGTTGTAAGAGCAACAAATAATAACTTGACTTTTGGTTGATCATTTGGAAAAGTGGCAGAAGGTAGATTTTTCAGATGAAATATCTGTTAAACTGTATCCCAATTATCACAAATACTGCAGAAGACCTATTAGAACCTATCATGATTTGGGGTTACGTTCAGTATGGGGTGTGCGAGAGATCTGCAGAGTGGCTAGCAACATCAAAGGCCTGAGGTATCCGGACATTTGTGCTACCATATTAGAGGGCAAATTCTTCAGCAGGATAGTCCTCCTTCTCATACTTCAGCCTACAATTCAAATTTCCTGAAAGCAACGAAGATCAAGGTGCTCCAGGATTGGCCAGCCCAGTCACCACAATGCAAAGAAAATGCTTCTCTCACTTAGATTTTTCACTTGTTTCTAGTCCAAAAATCCAAAACTGCTTAAATCAAGAAGAATTTTCTAGACAAGCAAAACATATAGTCTTGTTTTCAGAAATAATATGCCAATATTAAGTGAGTTTTTCCTTAAAATAAGCAAAGTAATCTGCCAATGTGGTAAGTAAAATCTTGTTTCTCCTTTTGACATAAGATTATTTTGCTTACCCCATTGGCAGATTTATTTTCCAAGCTCATGGTAGTCATATACAATATGAATTATTTCTCCGCACCATGACTTTATATTCTATACTTTACATTATTTCTGTTAAGTGACAAGACTTTTGTCTAAGCAAAGTCAGACCTTACTGTCCTAATTAAAAAAAAAATTAATAATCAAGGCATGATCATATTTTATTCTGGTAAAATTATTTAAATCTAGAGGCTTTTGCCTTTCATATAAGCCACTTCTAAATGATCAACTAGAAGTTAAGTTATTATTTGTTGTTCCTAAAACTTGGATTGGCGACTAGACTTTTGTCAGGTAGTGTACTTTTACTTTAGTATGCACATAAAAACTGAGGCATTCATCCATCTGTCAGTCTCTCTCTTATTTCCACTCATTGACTGCCTTTTTCTTTAACCAACATTTATTTTAACATCACTTTGTTTACTGCCATGCAAATCCTTCAGGAAATGCAAATCCATATTTTATTATTATTTTAATTGTCTTCCACCTCGTTCTCCACCTCAGCATATGCTAATTCTTCCCTGACGGCTCTGCTCCGATGCTTACCTTCAAACCAGCTTATTTTCCATATGTTTTCTCCAGCTAACTTGCCTAGCTTCTCATCTTCTCGTTCATGTTTTGTTTATTAATCTTCCTTAAGATTCATGCAAGCACACTCCTATTGTCTTCCAAGTGCCCTTGTCAACTGAAGCACTAGCGCCGCTCTCCAGAGGATCTACTCAGCCGCAGAGGCTTGTTTTTTTTTTTTTCTTGTTGTTTGAATTTAAGTCCCTGCCAACAGATGAAGAGAAACACGCTATAAAGGAGAGCAAGAAAGGGAGCAGCAACAACAAAAAAAGAAGACACAATGACCCTTTAAAAGAGGCCTGGTGCTACACGGCATTGCTTGTCATTCATGATGCTGTGGGATGTGAGGTCGGGTCAGTAGAAAGCTCTTGATCCTCCCACCTGACAGAAGTACTGAGAGACTTGACTGTACTGCAAGACATCAACATCACGCAACACTGCACAAACCACACACCTCACTGACCTGCAGAAGAAGATATCAGATGCGTTTCTAACATTTCCATTTCATGCACTTCAAAGCGCACAGTCATTGAATCCGTGGCCTTTTCCTTTCACAAAAACCTTCTTTTACATCACGTCTCTTGCTCTTCCACTTTCTGATTCACATTGTTTTCTGTCTCCAGTATATGAATTGAAGGGATAAATACTGTTTTCCAGAACGGATGGGAAGTGAAAGACTATTACTAGTAGAAATGACAGTGGCTGCGGTGTCTCTTGGTGTCATTTTCTTAGTGCCGGGCTGCTGGTTCCCTGAAAAGTGTGCGCGAGGCAGGGAGCAGCGTTAATTT